ATATCGAAAGGTCAACGACAAAAATACGCAAAAACGTTAGTAAGCTTGTATAGGGCGAAAGTGCCATCACACTGTGCTTACTGTACCGAGTACACCAGGCAATTTGAATTCAAATGGCCAGTAATCGGAGAGAAAGAAAAAGCTTAAGCAAACATAATAAGAACGACTATTATGTATACTCAAGAAGAAGAATAGGCGAAGAGATCAGATCAGATCATCAGAGACACCAACAATGTCAATAATGACACCAGCAGACCATTGGTGCTCATGATAGCACCAGAGCCCGAGTAGGATGTCTCCAGAGCAGTGGCCGTAGTGCCAATAGCACCAGTGGTGAGAGTAGCCAACGTGGAACCCGTGGAACCCGTGGAATCCAATGCAGTTGCAGCCTCCACAATGGTGGATGATGACTCACCAGCCACGGTAACAGAGGCTCCACTACCAAGTGATTCCTGTGTTGAAGTTGAAATACTGCCAACCTCTGAAACAGTAACAGATCCTGATACACCTGATGTCATAACACCTGTGATGGCCTCGGTCTTTGTGTTAAGCTCTGTATCAGTATGGGTGGAGATAGTAATCGAACCCTCTATCACAAGAGTGCCACTAGACTCCTTAAAAGATGCTGTTGCTGTGCTCGCTTCAACACCCTCGTTAGTGGTTTCTGCAGTCTCGGAACAACGCTCACAAGGAACAACGACAGTTGCAGTGGACACAGCACCAACCACATCGGTAACAGTTGTCAGAATCACATTCGAGGTTACGGATGCAACACTAACAGATCCTGCATCATCTGTTGTAACGATACCAGTAATTACCTCCGTTTTGGTGTTTCCCTCAGAGTCAGTGTAAACTGATGTGACACACGGAACTGTTACTGTAACTGTCTCAACGACTCCACCAATTGTAACAGTGGTTACAACAATACTTGTCACACTCTCATTTAACAACGAGGTAGTCACACCAGTTGATGGGTTACCAGAGGCATCAGTAGTTGAGTAGAAGGAGACAATACCAGACTCAGTACCACTAGCATCAGTGAATGTAGTGGTGTATGGGTTTGGAAGAGTCTCAGAACCAGACTCGGAGCCAGAAGTCAATGGGAACA